AGGAATCATAGAGCTAATGCCGTCTTTGTCCATAGGCTTCCTATGGTTGGCATCGTCTTCCTGGGCTGAGATGCTGACATAGAGACAGTCATGTAAATCCTGGTACCCATACACACATAGGTCAGTCTTCTCCAATAGCCTCTCATCTTGTGGTTTGTCACAAATGGTTTGCAGTCTGATCACTGGGAAAGAGTACATTCTTCATGCTACCTGCAGCAGGGTGATGGCTTCATCTCAGCCTAAGCAAAGTCACTGGACTGTAGCTCAATGATAAAATGTAGCAATTTTCTGAACAATTAGGCTGTTGTTTTATATCTTGACACTGTGCAGTCTTTCTATAACACAACCTTTCTCTTGAAAATGACTGTTCCTTGCTACATATGCATGCCTCAGCCCCATTCATTCCTTAGGGAAAGCTGTTCTCTTGCAGGCCTCAAGCAGTTGCTTGTAGTAGGGCATTCCCATAGGTATAAATGGGGCTGGTTAATATTTAAATGTCCAAGCTAACTCAAATGTTCCCAAAAACCACCTTTCCTACCCTATAGGGTATGTACCAGCATTCTCTTTCTTACTTGTACCAAGGGAGATAGCTTTGATGTCTTCCTGTGACATCATCACCAAGCCTGTAATTTTTTTTTTTTTCAGGGGCAACTACGGAGAACTCACCTCATATTGAGGTAGGCACACCTTCAGAACTACATCTCTGCTGCACATAATGCGTGGGTAGGCTCTCGGTAGTTAAGGCAGCAGTATTATTTTACTGGGGAAAAAAAAAATCAAAGACATAGGCAAAGGATAGGCAAAGTACTGTAGTTCAGTAAGAAGTACTAAGATCAGGTTGATATTTCAATGCAGAAAAGGCACTGTGTTCTCAGCCCAAATGGGAATGGGAGCACATTGAATTTCTGGCAGGTCAATAGGTATCTTTCTGTATTTACAGCATTTTAAAAAGGCTGAATATGGGCATACAAATGTGAACTACTGATAATGTATATGTAGCACCCTCTAGTTTAGCTAGGGGGAGCTGGACCCAATGAATAGTGAGGAGCTGATCAGCAGCTCCGGTGAGATAGGTGAAGGATCAAATGCTGGTCAGGACTGAGAGACTCTGCAGGCCAACCCCTCTGGAATTCCCCCCTGCTCTGAGGCTTTTGGAGGAGGGCCTTGGAGACAGTGGGTGGATCTGAGGAGTAGCTGGTTGCAATCTTGAGGGTTCCTAGCCAATCTGCAACAGAAGGCTTGGCAAGGGGCTGGACACCCTTAAGTAGGAGCCTGCTCAGTAGCAGGAGTGTGTGGTGGTAGAGGAGTGTGGAGCAGGAAGATGTGAGTCTGGAGGAGGAAAGCTGCAAGGAGGCCTGATGAGATGGGGCCTGCCTGTGAGCCTGGAGCTGGAAAGAAGGAAAACTTGGGACTCACTGGCCCCCTGAGTGAGGACCACCTGTATGGCAGGGAAGGAGCAGCCCAGCTGATGGCCCTGGTAGTAGCAACCATCCCGCAAGTGGCACAGGAGAGGATCTGAGGGAGTACACATGCACCCCCTGGGCAGATAGGGTAAGGAACACTATGGTGGGAAACCAGATTAACCCTCTGCTAGTGACTGTTATCCAATCAAAGGAACAGAATCCAGATCCCCTGCTCAGGAAGAGTGTCCAAATTGCTAGGTGAAGAGGAGTTCATCTAGGGTCTAGGGTGGTACAACTAGGAACTGCTGGCTAGCGCTCCAACAGAGACTGTGTCAGAGAAAAGAAGTTGTTAATAGTTAAGGAAGTTGTCCTCAGATTTCGGTTCCCTTGGGCATCCTATACTCCCCTTACCCTATCCAAGTTCTAATCCCCTCAATAAACAACAAAACCAATGCTCAAGGACCTATTTCTGTCTCCGGATGAAAACTTTTGTGGAAAATACTGAATGACTGTGCATAACTATAGTGGGACCCACATCTCTTGGCAACTCCCAAAGGGGTAGTGCTGCATGGAGTTTGCTGAAAAATCACTGGAAATGTGTTCATAACGGGGCGGACTGACCATTCGAGAACTCGGGCACTGCCGAGGGCCCGGGGTCAATAGGGGGCCCCATGAGATGACCCTGGTACCTTTCATTGGCTGTTTCATAGGCTTTTTTGTGTGTGGGCAAGGACACAGGGGCCCCATGATCCCCTATTGCCCGGGGTCCCCATGAGTTGTCAGTCCACCCCTGGTTCATAACCATACAATGTAAAGGTAATACTTAGTAGATATTAGAAACTCCAATATGGGGATAATTTCAACCAAATACTTTCTGTAAATGCACATTAAACCTCAACAATTATATATTTTGGGACATATAGTACAAGCAGTTGGTCAAAATGACACAGCATGTTAAAGCTGCAATTTAGCCATTTTTATATATAAAATTATTTCTATTTAAACAGCTCTTTTGCTAATTGACTTTGAATAGTTGTTCTGTCAGATGTTAGAGTACAAGAGATGCATCAATTGTTACCTTATCGTTATGAGATGAATATTCCCAATAACAGTGCTAAACTTGTTTGACTATACACTGTCTATCTGCCTGTGAAATGATGAAGGCTCGTGTATTTAATCTCTTTTCACCCCTTCCTGCCAAAAGCAATTTTCAGCTTTCAGCGCTGTCAGCCTTTGAATGACAATTACTCAGTTCTGCCATACTGTACCCATATGATTTTTTTTTTACACAAATAGTTTTTTTGTGGTATTTGATCACCACTGGGTTTTTTATTTTTTGCTAAATTGAAAAAAGAGGGAACATTTTGAAAAAAAAAAAAACAAAAGGTTTCTGTTATTAAACAAATAAATGTTTCTTCATAAATTTAGACCAAAATTTACTCTGTTATATTTCTTTGGTAAAAATAACCCAAATCAGTGTGTATTATTTAGCGTAGGAAAGTTATAGGAGTTTATTTGCCCACTTGATGCCAAATCACGTACATGTACGTCATTTAGCGTTAAGTGGTTATACGGGGCTGATGCCTGCATCATCGTTATTTTAATATGGTGGCTGACTTTTATGTAAAAGTCATCCTAGTGGCTCCCCCCACCCCCGCCTGCAGGTGCCTCTCCAGGCTCTACCGTCTTAGTGGTGAGCCTGTATAAAAGCTGGTGCTTTTGCCAGCTTACCACAGAAATCGCTGAGGACCGCAAGGTCCCAGATCTCTATGGTATAGAAAACCAGAAGTGGTGAGCATTTTCATCACTTTAGGTTTTCCCAGAAGTAAACAGCACCATTTTTAAATAGGGAAAGTATCTGAACATAGCGATTTTAGGGTAGAGGAGAGAGAGACCTCTGATCTCTCCATAAAAAGTACCTGTCACTACCTATTGATGCCACAAGGGATGTTTACATATGTGCTAAAAAATATTGAAGAAACAGTGTAAAAAAAAAAATTTTAAGAAAATTTTATAGCACCCCGTCCCCCCCCTCATGCTTGCAAACAAAGACGATTGCATGCTTTGGTCCTGCATGCATACATATACAAGAATAGCACTGCACATGTGAAGTATTGCTTCAAATGTCAGAGCGAGAGCAATCATTTTAGCACTAGATCTCTACTGTAACTCTAAACTGGTAGCCAGTAAGGGCTTTTAAAGGGTTACCTATGGCAACATTGTTTGCCATTCCATTAGCGTGCGCAATTTTAAAGCATGACATGTTAAGTATCTATTTACCTGCGTACTTTTATGTGCATTAAAGTGTATTTCAAAAAAAAATTTGCGTTCTAAAAACTGCTTTGCAAACACTGTGTGACAAAACCCACCATTTTATTCTCTAGGGCCTCTGCTAAAAAATCTGTATATCAAATCAATAGTGCAGCGCTGTGTTATAAATAATTATTATGAAAAAAATATATATAATGTTTGGGGTTTCCAGGTAATTTTCTAGAAAATATATATTTTATTTTCGTAAGCTAAGTGTCAGAAAAAAAGGCCTGGTCTTTAAGTGGCTCTGCATAGAAACCAATCATCTTCCAGGTTTTATTGTCAAAGCTTGTCCACCTGTTTTTAGGGTGGATAATGTAATATGTTCCCATAGCTGCCCACTGCCCCGCCCCTCTGAGAGATAATATAAGGAGAAGTTTCCCCATACTGTCAGATTTGAAAACAATGTGGGTGTGCGGGGCTCGTCCCACATGACCGCGTCATTCATTCACGGACTTCCGTGAATGTGCTGCAAGTCCTGGCAGCCTTAGCTGCTGTGGGCTTTTAGTTTTCAGTGCACTACCATGGTGCTGTGGAGCGCCGTGGTAGTTCATTGAAGGTTACTGTCAGTATATCTTCTTGGTAGTACATCGCGTACAGCAAGCAGATATTCTGACAGGTCTGCAGGAGACCTGCATGGCATCTGTGATCTACTGATCGCTGGTGCAATGGTTTCCAGGCTCCTCTGGACAAAAATAATAAATGCAGTTTTTTCACCTGCGACATCAGTGCCTGTATCAAGGTCTGGCTCGCAGTCTCCATTCTAATTCATCCCAAAGGTGTTCTTTCGAGTTTAGGTCAGGACCAGTCAAGAGCAGACCAATCAAGTTCCTCCATCCTAAACTCACTCATCCATGTCTTGATGGACCTTGCTTTGTGCACTGGTGCACAATCGTGTTGGAACAGGAAGGGGACATCCCCAAACTGTTCCCACAAAGTTGGGAGCATGAAATTGTCTAAAATGTTTTGGTATGCTGGCGCCTTACGAGTTCCCTTCACTGGAACTAAGGGGCCATGTCCAACCCCTGAAAAATAACCCCACACCATAATCCCTCCATCTCCACCAAATTTACGCTTGGCACAATACAGTCAGGCAAGTACAATTCTTTTGGCAACCACCATAACAAGACACATCCATTTAATTGCCAGACAGAGAAGCATGATTAGTCACTCCAGAGAACACGTCTCCACTGCTCTCCAGTGGAGTCCAGTGGCGGCATGCTTTACACCACTACATCGGACACTTTGCATTGCACTTGGTGATGTAAGGCTTGGATGCAGCTGCTCAGCCATGGAAACCCAAAGCTCTTTACGCACTGTTGCTGTGCTAATCTGAAGGCCATTTGAAGTTTGGAAGTCTTTAGCTATTGACTCTGCAGACAGTTGGCGACTTCTGCGCACTGTGCACTTCAGTATGCGCTGACCCCTCTCTGTCATCTTACGTGGCCTACTACTTTGTGGCTGAGTTACTGGTGTTCCCAGTTGCTTCCACTTTATTATAAAACCATTAAAAGTTGACCGTGGAATATTTAGTAACAAGGAAATTTCATGGATGGACTTATTGCACAGGTGGCAACCTATCGCGGTACCATGCTTGATTTCACTGAGCTCCTGAGAGTGACCCATTCTTCAAAAATGTTTGTGAAGCAGTCTGCATGCCTAGGTGCTTGATTTTATACATCTGTGGGCATGGAGGTGATTGGAACACCTAAATCCAATGATTTGGAGGGAGGCCCCAATACTTTTGACAATATAGTGTACCTGGTGTGGTGGTGATCAGGGACACTGACTGGTGAAAGTATGTAAAAAAACAAAAAACAAAATAATACATTTTTTTCTATTTTATTACAATTTATTTTTGTTTACATTTTTTTTACATACTGTTACCAGGGAAGTACAGTGTTACCATAGTAATATTTCTACTTTGGGGGGGAGGGGTGATCAGTTTTTTTTTTTATTACACATTATGATCACTTATAACAGAGATAATCACTCTTATAAAGGAACCATTTTTTATGAATGCATCCTATCGTCCAGTGTGTACTTTTGTGATTAGCTGTGATTGGCCACAGCTGTGATTGACCCTGTCTGTAGCATGTAATCACTGTGACCAATCACAGAGATCACTGTACACATGAATGACTATGAAAGGGAAGCCATTCATTGTGTACAATTGCCATGTGATATGCTGTGATTAGTCACAGCAATCACATGTTAACGGCAGCAGCCTGGTACACTGAATTGTCCAGTGGACACAGCAGGTGACAGACCACAGCGCAGCCATATGACATCCACCCAAGATGGCCATTGTTTTATTATTGGCCAGGCAGGAGGTGGTTAAAGATCTTTTGTAGAACTTTCCAAACATGAACTTTGGTAACTCTTCACTTGAGGTCCTCCAAAATCTCTTTTGATCCTGTCATCTTTCACTTCAGAATCCTGAGGTGAGTAATCGGTAACCAAATTTGTAGCATTTTTTGTGTAGCAAGGGCAGGGCAATGCCACACCTTAACTGCTATACCGCTGCCCTATAGCAGAAATACTACTACAGGGTGGCAGGGGTGCACAAAATCAAGTATATATACATGATTTAGCATTTCCCGGGTAGGGGGCGTGCGCGCACCCTACCTGCAACACCATTCGTGGCCTTGGCTGTCAATCACCGGGTCCCGGCCAATGATTACTTGCTAGCACCTGGTGATCGCTGAGTAATACCGACGGGGGGAGAGAACTGTATGTAAACAATACAGTTTTCTCCCCTGTCAGCTCCAGCACACTGCTTTGTATGGCTGTGCATAGCAGAGCCATACAAAGCAGTGCACTTACAGTGGAAAGCACAGACACAGCTCCATAGTAAAATGCACACAGTTAACCCTTTGATCGCCCCAGATGTTACCCCCTTTTTGCCCAGTCCCATTAGTACCATGTCAGTGCTTTTTATTAGCACTGATCAATGTATTGGTGTCACTGGGGATATCAGTGACACCAAGTCAGTTTCCCTCCAGTGTCAGAATGCCCGCCGCAGTCCCGCTGTAAGTCGCTGATCGCCGCCATTACTAGTACAAAAAAAAATTATATATATACCCGCCATTTGTAAATGCTATAACTTTCATGCAAACCAATTAATTTACATGTATTGGGATTTTATTTTGCAAAGACACGTAGCAGAATACATTTTGACCTAAATTATGACGAAATTTTTGTTTTTTAACAATTTTTTATCAGACATAGCAAAACGTCAAATATTGTTATTTTTTTCTCAAAATTGCCGGTCATTATTTTTCTTTTTTTCCTTTTATAGCGCAAAAAATAAAAACACAGAGGCGATCAAATACCACCAAAAGAAAGCTCTATTTGTGGGAAAAAAAGGACATCAATTTAATTTGGGTGCAGCATTGCATGACCATGTAATTGTCAGTTAAAGTAACGCAAAAAAGGCCTGGTCAGGGAGGGGGGTAAATCCTCTGGAGGGCAAGTGGTTAAAATTGATTGTAACTCCTAAGCCAGTGACTTGAATGGCTTAAATCATTTACCCCCTTTAAGGGCTAGTTTACACTAGTGCTATAGAGCGATCTGCACCATTCAATTGACTAGGTCACATTCAGTGGGTGGTACTGCCCACTGAATACTACAGTGGGGATAATTTTTGACGAGCGATAATGCAAAGCATCACACTTGTGGAATATATACTCTCCACTCCACAGCCTTTGCAGAATAAGGGAGATTTGTTGATTGGAGGGTGGTAAAAACGTGGCACAGCTCCGTGTTTTTTTACTGCCCCCAAATAAACATATAACCAAGGCCTTAAGATGTGTGTATCTTAGATGTGCACATAGAGTTTACATTATATACTGTATGTTTCATGGGAAATGTTTAAAGCTTACAGTTTACATTATATACATTATATACAGTATGTTTCATGTGAAATGTTTAAAGCTTACACTTTTACTAGGTGACAAGGCAGGAGCACAATTGCGAGACACAGGCAGGAGTTGTCAGCCTATAACAATAAATGTCTGAGTAAGAACCTTTTTATAGCAGGATCACCACTTATCATTTTAATAAGATCTGCAGATAAAGAAATATTGATAAAATGACTTTTGATATTACAATAACATGTTAATGTTTACTGTATAATCTCTTTTCTATGTGACTATTTCCTATTGTTTAAATAAATCACCCCCAAAAATCCATCAACAATCATGATTACTAGTTTTATAAAATACATGGTTATCTTCTTGTTAGACAAACTGGCTTATACATATTTAGGATTGTCCCAACTTGCTCAATTGTTTCATCTACGTTTACTTGCTGGCCAGTTTTGTTCACTCTGAAAAGTCCTTTTGTACCATTTTGAATATTTGCAATGTAAATAAGTTACTTTGCAGTGAAAGCCTATACTTAGTGCAGAAATAAATCTTTAGGTTTCAGCCCGTACCATTCTTTGAGTCCTATTTTAAGCTTTTGCCTCTGAAAGTAATTATTTCCAGTGACAAGAGTCAGGGATGGTCTTTATTTAGTAAGAGAAAATGGTTTTAACAATAATTACATATCTTACTCTTGTGATGTATTACTCTGCCAACAGACTCTTAAATATTTTTTTATGCATTTTACGATTGTTTGCGGTATTCTGTTTGCCTTATATATGAGCATTTTCTGAAATGCCTTTGGTTGCAAGGAGTCATTTACAAGTATTTATTGTGCTTATTTTTCATTTTTACAATGAATAGAACCAAGAGATTATACATTATTTTACGGAGTGTACCATCTGCATACAAAAGAATAAAAGACTTTTAACCATTTGAACTCCGGATGGTTTTACCCCCTTTATGACTAGGCCAATGTTTTGCTATTTAGCACTGTGCTATTTTAAATGGTAATTGCGCGGTCATGCAATGTTGTACCTGAACAAAATGTTTAATTTTTTTTCACACAAATAGAGCTTGGGGGTATTTTAATCACCACTGGGTTTTTTTTATCATATAAATGAAAAAAGGCTGACAATTTTGAAAAAAAAAAAAACTATATTTTGTCTATGCTATAAAACAGAAAAAAAATTTAAAAAGCTATTTTTTTCATAAATATATGCTAAAATGTATTCTGCTACATGCCTTGGTAAAAAAAAAAAAACAATAAGTGTATACTGATTGGTTTGTGTGAAAGTTATAGCTTCTACAAAATATTGTGGATATAGACTGGAATTTTATTTTATTTTTTTATACAACTAATGGCAGTGATCAGTGACTTATTGTGGAACTGTGATAGTACAGTGGGCAATCTGACAGTAACTGACACTGACATCACCATTGACATTAATACAGTGATCAGTGATAATACTGGGCAGCACAGTGGCTAAATGGTTATCAAATCTGCCAGGCAGTACTAGGGTCGTTGGTTCAAATCCCACCAATGGCACCACCTGTCTGGAGTTTGCATGTGCTCCCTGCGTGGGTTTCCTCTGGGTTCTCTGGTTTCCTCCCACACTCTAAAGACATGCTGATAGGTTTTTTAGCTCCTGTCTAAATGGCCCTAGTATGTGTATGTATGAATGCAAGTTAGGGACCTTATATTGTAGGTTCCTTGAGGGTTAGGACTGATGTGAATGTACAATATAAATGTAAAGCGTTGCGTAAATTGATGGCGCTATATAAGTACATGTCATAATAAATAATTCTATACATAGTCACTGTACTAATGACACTGGCTGGGATGGGGTTAACATCTCTGGTAATCAAGGGATTAAATGTGTTCCTAACAATGTGTAATGTGTGCCTGATTTTTACTAAATATCTGTGTTTCTTGCAGGGAGAAGAAACAAAGAGATTGTTCTCTCTGTACAGAGACAATCAACACAGGGCTCTGGGCGGTGATTGGAAACAGCAGGTCCCAGTCATGAATCAATGGCTGGGACTTACTGACAAACTCTTACTGTGTACAATCACAGCGAGAGTCGACGGGTTGAAGATCACATGATCTTGCCCTGTACCTGGAAGAGGCCAGCAATGTATAGGTATGTCGCTGTGCTTGTACGGGCTGCCTGTCCGCATTAAATTTCAGGTGCGGGGTCTGCAAGTAGTTAAGTAAAAGCTCCTATAGCAAACCTGTAAGAGAAATGAAAAAAAAAAAACCTGCAGACAGTAAGCTCTGATTTAGCCACTTCCATGCTGAATCTTCAATTTATATCTTGTAGGTTATATGTCAAAATTCAAAACTTGTTCTCTCATGATTTCCAAGAACACAATGATCTAGTAACCATCAAAAACTCAAAGGAGAATATTTATTAGGCAGATAATATGACATTCGCCAAACAATTATTGCAGGTGTATTTTCCTGGTGCATACGTTTTAAAAGAGCCAAATTTTTATGGCCAAATTTTTTTGGGTCATAGTCCTCCCATGGGTCACAGTAGTGCTCTTACTTTTGTGATCTCCTGTGAGCCAGAAGCTGCTGATAGTGGGCTAAAGTCAGCTAAGGTGACAGAGCTGCTCCAGGGTCTGGTGGGATCCCAACCATATTGTCGGGATCCACCCACCTGTCTGACATTTGAAGAAAGTCACACCTACTATAATCAACAAAACCCTAGCACAACCAATAATCTCAGTTGCAATCTCTAATGTACCACAATACTTACTGCTTCCTATACTCTGTATTCCCACA